ACGATCTATTATATTACTAATGTTGTAGGTAGCCCACAGTGGCTATATGCTGCATAAGTTTTTAACAGCCTAATCATAGAATTGAGTTTTTCACACTTATTTAATGTCACAGTGTTATGTTTTGGAGTGGAGAGAAATAACCATAAAACAATCATAGAATTACAGAACATGCGTATTCTATAAAGCATTTAGCCAAATGCGATTGATTCATATATTATGTGTTACTTTTTTACTAGCATTTGGGCTTTTCTCAGTGGATTTGGCAATTGGGTTTTCGATTATTGGGCGAGGTTTATTCATGGATTTTGATGTCTGTGGATTGGTTTGGTGATTTGGTGAATGAATAATGTTTGAGCAGTGTTGGAATGGTTGGAACTTGGACTTGGTTGGATTTGGTGAATCTGGAGCTCATGTCTTTGCTTTGTATGATTGTATCTCAAATGTGAATTCCACAAATCTGCTTTTCTCTATTAACCATTATATTCGATCCATGATTTCTTATTTCTCAAATTCAAAATATATGTACATCTTTTTTATTCACAACTCTCATTTTCTACCGTTGGTTTTTTTCTATAGATGTCTTTACAATATATATTGTCTCCAAATCAATGGTTCTCTGCTACAATAACTCAGTATCTGAATATTCAGTACATGAAAGATTTCATTGAACTTCTGAATGCAAATGACCAAGCATTTATGATGTCTACCAATTTCAATGGCTTTATATATGGAATTATTTATAGAAAAGAAGCTGAGCAACGGTTTAGCAGCAAATTAATTCACGAGTTTATAATGAGACTCTTGAATTGTGGTAAAGACAATGAACTATGGGTAAAACTTGATGACCATTTGGCCCGCTTCAGTCTTCAAGAGTTTTGTCTTATCACTGGTTTACCTTGCCATAAAGCAACTATAAATCTTGATTTCAGCAGTAATCGACTTTGGAATCAATACTTCAATGGTACAAAAAGAATTACAATGCGAATGCGTCTCGACACATCCCATTCATGCGATCATCACGATGACAAATTTAAGCTTGGATTTGTGATGTTGGTTGAATGTATTCTGAAACCTACTGAAAGATATATTGATTATAGAACTCTAGGTATGGTCGAAAACCTTCAAGACTTCCTTCAATATTCATGGGGTCGTAGAGCATATTTTGTTTTGTTAAACTCCCTGGGACAACCCCACCTAGAACGAATACAAATAATGCAAGAAAATGGCCAAAATGAATGTAAATACTCATTACATGGATATCCTCTTGCATTCCAGGTACTTTTCTCCCATTTTTTTATTGCTCGTCAATTTATATATTATTTTATTACTTATACAAATCATCTATAGCTAATATTTATTTTTAATTATCTTTTAGTATTGGATATATGAAGCATTTCCACATATTGGTCGGAAATTTGGACGCAATAGACACACAGCATTAAAATGTCTAAGAATGCACAAATGGAGGCCAAAGACAATATTATCAGAAAAAATAATTCAGCAATTCTTAGCTACACGAGAGGTAATTTTATTATTTACTTATATTCATTTACTACATAACATTAATCACTTAATTATATTTTTGGTTTTCACGAAGAAAAATTATAGTAATTTATTAAATTGTTTCATTATAATTACAGATTGAAGTACTTGCAATACTAAAGCCTACGGAAGAAGAATTACAGACACCGTGGTATACAATTCTTTCGTTGCCACAAGATAACTACCACAATATATTTAATGACATTCTTTCCGGGGAATTAGACAATGTGGCTCCACAAACCCAGGAATATACCGATAACATGCCAGCCGGGCCGGTACTTCAAGAACAACTATTGAGACTGAAGCTGGCCTAAGTTCTACCTACATTGGTTCTAATTATGTCACAAAAGAACTGGAACAGATGCTAAATATACAAAAATAGCATATAGTGCCAGATGTCTCAGGTATGTGTGATACTTTATTGGCCTCACGCATTTCGAAACAATCAAGAACACAAGAAATTCAGTATCAAACACTTCTTCACAACGAACAACAGTTCTTCCAACAACAACAACAATGGAAAGAAGAATATTATCGAAAACTACAACAATGGCAAGAAGAACATTATCGAAACATACAATCTAGCATGCAACGTTATGTGGATGACAGTTTCAATTCAGTACAATCTCACATCAACGAACAAAATAACAACGTACTGAACGAATTATCCGATTGGAAATCAAATATGGAAGCTACTATAGGTTCCCTTCAGCAAGACGTTCCTGTTCATACAAGCCCTATTGCAGCACATACCTCGACATCTCATCAAACTGAAGATGTTACAAGATTGTCAACAGAACATAAAACTAAAGGAAAAAAGACATAGCCACCAACAAACTATCTTTTAGAAGACTACTCTATTGCCGAATATAAAACAATTAGAGATTGGGTACCTCTATTCCATTACCTTAATTATTATTATTTTCCTTTCATTTTTGTCAAACTAAATTACATTATTTTCTACAGTGCACTTTGGGAAGTTCGACCCAATAATTACCAAGGAAGAGAATTCATAAAATCCACGACGGACATAACACAAAATATCAGTGTTCCGGTAAGTAAAATTCATTCATCATAATATATTACATTCTCACATTTAATTTACGTCTATTTTTTTTATTAGAGTCTTGAATTGGAATTGGAATTGTTACGCCGACTCATCAACGACGACTCTTCTCCTGTATCAAAAGATTACGCAATTCTAAACTTCAACTACGAGAATGAATGTAATAATCATATGTTGTTGCACGTTGAAATCTACAAGGAAGGCACTATTAGAACTTCTGGGAATCTAGCCACTATACAAAACTATGTAAATGGCACTCTTCCAATTGATGGCCGTCCGTGGATACGATGCAAACATCTATTAATTCCATGTTCATTACCGGGCAACAATTGGTACCTCATCGCGTAAATATCCCCGAATGGAAATTCGAAATCTATGACTGTAGCAACAACGTTCATACGCCAGACCTGATCAGAGCCCATTTAAATATAGTCAAAGACTTAACTGTACTCTTGCTAAATGCACCAGAATTTTTTGCTTACAGACGCTACGTGAAGAAAACTGCAAACACGTCTATAGACATTGACATTATACCATATCAACCCTATGTAAATAATGGGTAATCATTTTAATTATTTCTTATTCTTACTAACATTTCACTTCCAAATTTTTATTTATCACACTAATCTCGTTTAACATAAACCAATTTTTCCCACATGCCAAATTGCGGCGTTTTTGTGCTCAAGTACATAGAATGCTTCGTGTTTGGATATCCAATAGAGTCAGTTTCAGCAGACAGGATGACTATATATAGACGAAAAATTACAACTGATATTTGTTTCGATCGATACTTTTTAAACTGAGAAAGGAATCTCATCATTACATGCACAAAGGTACATACAAATTTATTGTCCTTTACACTTAATCGCATGTTACAACATTTTCCTCTGCCTATATTTAACAGAAATAATTTTTCTATTATCTCACAATAACATAAAATAAGTCTTCATAATATTGACAAAATATGTTGCTCCAAATGCCTCTTAATTATTCAATGTTCTCTCATATTTAAACTTTCTACACTATTCAATAAAGATTCTATATCCAATGCAAACGAAACCTTCAAAATTAGAAATTCCATGCATTGCATGGACCTAGTATATATAAAATTAAGTAATTATGATAATTATATAATTTAAATCAATTAATCATAATTATAAATAATTAATTTGATAGTAGATTCCTAGTGTGAGTCCACATTCACTGTTCCTTTTTTTGACACCTTAAAGTTGTAATGATATTTTTTAGATATATATATCAAATATAGCCCATGTTTGAGCCTCAATTTCTTTTCGAAAAAAATATATTTTTGAATAGTGTGTTAAGCTCATTTCAACCACACATTTTTCAATAAAATAATATTATACACAAATTCAAATTTTTTTTCTTATTTTTAACAACATTTCTCATTAATACGCTATTCAAAAATGCATTTTTTTTTTTTAAAAAAATAAAACTCAAACAAGCCCTACTATTTGAAAAAAATAATAATTAAATCAGATAAGATGATCGCATGGTAAAATGTGTGGAATTAAATCACATATGTTTTGGACTTTTGGGCTTCTTTGTTAAAAAATAATTATTTTATTTTATTTTAATCATTTTCGTAAATACTTGATCAAATAAATCATAAAAGCCTCATAAAAAATCAGTTTTATTTTATTAAATTATGGAAAAAAAAAAGTTATGATTCTTGGACTATATAAACCCCATAATTCTTCTGAAAAAGTACACTGAAATCATTCTTCAATTTTGTAATTTCTAAAAACTCATTTGTAGTATTATTTTATTTTTGAGATATTGCTTTATAGTGCCATTGAGAGTTTTGAAAATCGCTTATGAGTACTTTTCAAGTGATTCAATAGTTACATTCTGAAAGTTATTGTCCAAAGAGGTCGCAACATTTAATAGTGGGCAATTTCACTTTAGTCTTCGCGCTGTCACGAGTCTCAATCGGTTAATAAATCTTCTTGCTTTCTGCATTTTAATTGCAATTCTTGAAATGTATCTGCAACTTATTTTTCTTCAACAATGTCAAAATTCATTAGACTACTAAGAGAGAAACCTTACAAGAAAAATAGATCTAGACTCTTCTCAGTTTGCATACGAGGCTAGAATCATGTTACAGTGACATAATGGTTGACATAATGTCACATGTCACTTCATTTTTGAACTGTTTTGAACACATTCAACTTTTCATCCAATTACATCTTGCCAACTAACATTATGTCACTTCATCTGTCAACCGATTTCTATCAAAGTGGCACAAGGCTGGCACTCAGCCAGTGCGATAAACTTCTATACAGAAGGAATTGATATATGTACGGTGAATTGTATAATATAATAAGAGAACAAAAAGATTAAGTCGTCCGTCTTAAAACCTTATTAGGTATTAATGTGGACTTGTTTCCCTACGCATCATAGATTTATATATAGGGCTATTTGTCAAAGAGAAATACACTGATTTCCTCTTCTGATGCATTTGCTCCTTCAAATTGACAATCTTTGCATCCACTCGTGCAGAAAATCCAATTTGTGTCATCTTTTTCGATTTCTCCTGCTCCCTCAGCCATGATGAACTGTCCCTTATATCCCGCCTGTACTGCTTGATTTCTTGGATCACGTGATCATCCATCGGATAGAATGACCGTTGAATGGTGATGTGAATGAAGTAAGGAAGTAGAGAAACGACTACCACAAGCAATGTAACAATCCAATACATAGATGCAGGCCCAATCGCTTCAGTGAAGATGTGAAATACATTTCTTGAGTATTCTGGAGGGAGCAAGCCGTACATATAGAGAAAGACGTACCAACAAAAAATGCTCCCCCAGATGAGGAAATGGCTAATCCAAGTGAAGTGTGAAATCATGAGAAAAATTTGACAGTTTACTGTCCAGATTATGCACGTATACGTAATCGTACCAATATGTTCAATGTCTGCCACATTCCCATCTTGATCAAAAGCAGCTGGGGACAATATATAGATGTTCAGTGTGAAGATAGCCAGAGAAGCCAAAATACCATTTAATATCCAACCAACAATGCGCTTCCAACTGAAACAGATATTCTTTTGTCCCTGCTGATAAAGGGCTGGAAACTTCACGAGGCATAAGGAAAATAGAATCGAGTCAGAATATTGTCAGAACATATTCTCATTGTGTTTTGAGGAAATCTGTGTTGTATTTTGTGTTTTACCTGCAAACAGACATCGGATGAAACATCCTGCTCTAGGACACCTAGAGATATAACTGGCAAAGATGTCAATAGTACATTGAACATGACCATATACCAATCATCGTATAAATCCTGCCCTGAGAAACCAGTGTAAATGTCGTAATAGAACAGTGCAAGCCCAAATGCGATGTTTTTATACACGAAGTAGAGGATCTGTGCAGAAAACAAAAAAAATCTTACATAAACTTTCAGGTAATGGTGAACTAAAATTTGTAGTTCAGATTTAGAAGAATAAAATTCTCACCATCTTGGAGATCCTCCTGTAGCACCAATGCCCGTGAACTATTAGTAAGCGCTCCAAGAAATGAAATTGAGGCAATGAAAAGTCGCTTGCCATTACAGCCTGAAATTAAGTTCAAAGGTACTTCTGTAAGACATTCTTTTCACAATGAACTTCAGAGAAAAAATGACACAGAAAATTCCATCAGCAGCTGACCAAAGAAAAAGCTATTACCTGCATTCCTTCCATGCCGCTGATTCCAACTCCAATATCAGCTTCCTGGATCATGCCAACATCATTAGCTCCATCACCGATTGCCAAGATTGTCTTTCCAGAATGCTGTTTTGCCAATCGAGTAATCTAAACATTTCTCAGTGAACAAAACAGATTAATAAGTGGTTTTTTGTAAGAAAAATCTATCCAATGAAACCAGAAGACTCAATCCTACCAAGGCTTTCTGTTTGGGAGAAACTCGGCAGCATATGACCACATCGCAGTTCATAGCCAAGGAGAAGAACTGGTGTTTCAGATTGCTACTCAAACTTATCTCCAAAGCTTGGCCATCAACAACTAAAGCGAAAGGGGCGTCTTTTCTGTCTTCTTGAATAATCATTTGGTTATAAATTTCTACTTGCAGTAAAATTTCTTCTTTGACATCCTGAAAAACTAAAAATGAGGAAAACTTGATCCCATTTCAGCAGTTTCTTTAGTATTTCACTTTTTTGTGTAAAGAAATTTTCTGAAACAAAACCATGCTGAGTTCATTAATTAGAACTGGTGTTCACCTTCACTTGATGGTTAGATTCCAATTTTGTGCTCAACTTCAAATGAAGCTGTTTCATATCCTGCCGAAGTAAACTGCAAGCATATCTGCCACAACAAATAGAAACTGTCCAGATTAAGAGAAAACACAGATATCCTTGCTGTACTCTACAAAAATTTTCATAATACTTTTGAGTAATAATTTTTTTTTTTTGATAACCATGGATGTCCGGGCCAACTTGTGCGCACCTCGACTAATTCCACCGGGTCTTGAAGTTTACGGTCACGTACTCACCTCAGTGGCCCTAGGGGGACTCGAACTTGAGTAATAATAAAATTGAGATAGATGAAAATCTCACCCAATGTTTATTGCTGTTTCTTTTTTATCACCAGTTAGTAGCCAGATCTTTAGGCCTGCTTGCGCAAGTTTATCAATGCATTCAGGAACCTGGTATCAGTGTTAAAACAAAAAATGTTATTATACATGCAAATCCTGTTGCAACGTATTTAGTGAAACAGAAATTGTCTCTGCTTAAGTGAACCTGTGGAAGAAAGAAAGAACACTAACCCCCTTCTGCAACTTATCTTCCACTGCTACGGCACCTAGTAAAAGCAAATCTTTCTCGATCATCTCAGAGGCATTCTCTAGTATTTCTACTCTTTCTGAACTTATCGTAGCCTTAGCCTTTGTAAATATTGAGTTCCAATCTTCATAGTCAGACAACCCAATTCTTTTATATGCAAACACCATAGTGCGCAAGCCATCTTCTGCATAATTTGAAAGGTGCATAGTTGTTGCCTGCTGATATGTTCTACCATTGTCTGCAAGCCTCTCAAAGATGACACTTAGAGCCAAAAAAAATGGAATCATCAAACAATAGGAACCTCAACGGATAATAGATACTTAAAATCTGTATGCAGAAAAATTTCGCAACACTTGAAATGCCAAAGTTTAGTGAAAATGATGGGAAAGATAGCATGCAACTGAAAATATACAGAATCAGATATAAACAAATTTTTCAAGCAGGCACCTGAACTAAAGAACTCAGAATAACTTACTCGTCAGCTCCTTTGCAGAACAAAAAGACCTCCCCATCTTCATTGCGTACTATCACAGACATCCTCTTTCTGGAGCTATTGAACTCCAATAGATTCAAAAGCTTGTATTCTCTGAATATGATCTTGATGTGTTGGTAAGAAAAATCTAGAAGCTGTAAGAAAACAACTAAAAGAGAAAAAAGAAGAAGAAAGGATAACTAACACAGAGGTCTCACCTCTTCACCACCAATCCTGATGAAGGATCAAGCTCTTGAAGAACCATAGTAGACTGAGTTCTTTCACAAAATTTGAATCCAAACTCTTGTGCTGCAATCAGGAAGGCAACTTCCTCAGGAGACTCTGCCTCATACATCATTCTATCGCTCTGGTCGTTTTCAACTGGAATGCCTGTGTGGCACAAAGCCATGACTCTGAAAAAAGTGACCATGTCAGTTATATTAGACCTATAGATCCACATTTTGTCCATGAGACGATCATCTCTGAAATTGAAACCCTTGATAATGGATTCTTTCCCTGTAATGGAAATTCTTGAATTTTGAGCCTTTGGATCATCCGAGCCATGATTACAATGTAAAATCTCCTTCTCTATGCTAGCATCAGCTGTAGAAAGGTCAAACATCTCAATACTTCGACCAGTAGAATCAGATCCATCCAAGCTGAACCTATATCTCTCCACATCAATGTTCATTCTTTGAGAAGCTGCAAGATCCACTTCATTCACTTCACCCCCGTATGAAATACCTTCAATCGAACACTTCCTAAATTCCATTTGATTGCAAGTTAAGGTCCCAGTTTTATCTGACAGAATCATTTCTACTTGTCCAAGCTCCTCATTTAAGTTAGATGTTCGGGCTTTAACTGTCTTGCCTGTCATTTCATCATACATACCTAGATCTTTGTTAATAAGCATAGCTTGTAGAACTTTGACAATTTCAATGGAGACATAGAGAGAGATAGGAATCAAGTAACCATACAAAATGAGGGACCTTAGAAATTGCAAAAAACAAGAGAGAACTGGATCTGATGGATCAAACAAATTATCAACATTTTCATGCAAACGAAGATACCACCTTTTTTCCTTTTCAGATTCTGTATATAGTGCAGAGCCAGCGGCGGAGATTGATGAAATTAACACCATCATAGCAAAAAGTACATAAATCACATGGTCCATCTTTCTTTCAACCTTGCTACGTTTAGATGGAGCTCTCATGGAATTTCGCACAGCTTTGGCATCTGGACCACTGAAGATCACAACTCCATAAATATATTCTGTATTTCGAAGTTTGGAGTCTCTTAGAAGAATTTGGGTTGGGGACAAGGGATAGGATTCATTTATGAACTCTAAATTTCCCACAAAAGTGTAAAGGCTTGGATTTGGATCCTCACAACGTATTGTGGCTTTAAATCTGCTAAATTCTTCATTATCATCCAGACAAAGTGTGGCTTCCAAGCTTCTTTTGGCCTTCAGATTTGTCTCCCCATCAAGATTCATGGTCTCAACATAGCAAACACCGTCCTCATAGCTAGAAGACAGCAAAAGAAGATCACTAGGAAAATATTCATTCTTGCTAACTTTGACAACATCTCCTACACACAGTGATTCCCAGGATTTCTGCACAAATAAGCCATTGCCTACATGAACCTTCACTTTCCGGGAGTTTACATTCCTGTCCTGCAACAAAGTGGTTAATCAAATATGAAATGCAAATCATAACCAATCTTGAAAAGAAAAATATCTATGTAGTTTTCTTATTCTACCTGTAAAAACCTATGCCAATCTTCAACTGCCTCTTTGAGCATGCTAATTCCCATAACAAACACGAGGGGTGCAATTAAACTTATGGGAGTAAAGGGAGTCAATGGAGTAATAGACAGCACTGCTGCTAAGAGGAAGTACAAATTGGCAACCCTGCAAAATTGCTCTAAAATCGCTCTTGGCAGAAAGGTCAGAAGATTGTACTTGGTTGTGGATACATAATTATTTGGATACCTATGTGGTTTGATCTTGTGAAGCTGAGATTCATTGCAGAAAACCACCCTAGAAAATCCCGGCTGTCCAAGAAGACTTTGAATAGGTGCAGAATCAGTAGTGCTTGGCCGCAAGCATGCAAAAGTATACAGTTTGCTCCATTTCACTTTCTGCTTCCTTCTTCCTGATGGTCCAGACATTTTTGTTAGTATTGATTTTCTTGGAGCTCCACAATATTCATTAACATAACATAATAGTACGACCTATATTCTTAAAAATAGACCTTAGTGAATCTTTCTATTATGATCTGTCTAATGACGACTATTTCAAAGATATACGAGAACAGAAAAGGGAATAAAATATTCTCGACCTTTAATAGATAACTTCAAAGTTTTGTCTCATGTTCTAGAAAGTCATTCTTGGTTTATTCACAAACTGTTTTTAAAAATGAAAGAGAAACTTCCAAAATCAGAATCCAAGCTTTCTTGGATCAAGCAGGCAGGCCCTGCATAATGCATTGAAAACCAAGTCTCTTTGCCCTATGCATTTCCATTGATGCATCCAAAGTCTACCACTTTTCATTGAAATTAACCTTAAAATACTCAAACCTACATGTGATAACTCTCCACTAATTAATACTGAAATTGACCACTTAATGAGGAAGTCTAAATTCATTTCACCACAATGATAAACTATGCATAAAATGGCCACAATTCATGGTGACTCCACAATTAAACCTAATATTACTAATCCTTTAAGTATAGTTTCTTACGCCTCTAGATTTGTGAACCGAATCATTCCTGTGATTCAAAATGCAGTATTTAAATCCGTACTAATTATTTGAAGGCAAATGGCACCATCTCTGTCGACATTGAATTTTTTTAAAAAAATTGATAGTTCCAATAGTTGGGTCAAATTTTTGGAATGCCGGCCAATGCCGAATATTAATTAGAGAAACAAAGCTTAATATTAATTTCATACCAATGAACTCATTGAAATGGCAATGATCTATATGCAGGCCAGGATGACTATGCCCTAGATGTGAATTCAGTGCTCCATGGACAATTGAGTCGAAGGGGGAAGAAGGAAATTAAATCAACATTACTCACTTTATTTATTTATTTTTTAATTCTCAACAATTATTTAATTATATATTCTATTTCCTATTTTATTTATTAATAAATTAAATATATTATATTTAATATTAAAAAAATATTACATATAACGGCACAAAAAAAACATATAATATTGTGCCCCTGTTTGTCTCCCATTATTGGGAGAAAATTATTGTAATGAATAGTTTTTTTGGAGAATGTGTGGTTAAAAATTAAAATAATTTTATTGGTTTGTGTATAGAATATTTTATTGGGTGAATGTGTGGTAGAGAATCTTACTGTAGCAAACAATTTTTTGGATTAATGGTAGACAAACAGGGCATAATAACTTCACAAAATAAACATAAAGTCTAACTAGTTTTGTCCTTTAATTCTTAAAATTAATATATTTATCATACAAATGATCATTCAATGGAATTCAAATTTATTTTTAATTTGTAATTATCAAATTTGTAACTTTTGAATTTTAATGTATTAAATAGTTACTAGTTATTACTTGATTACAATTTATTATAAATTTTAATAAAAATAATAATCAAATTAAAATAAATATAAATAAAACTAAACCATTAGGTAATAAAATGATATAATAGAAATTAAAATTTATTGTAATATAAAATGAAGGACAAAATGAAAAATAATATAAACTTCCAATATTACTCCAAATCAACAATCTTGCACCAAATTCATTATACCAATTTTGTGTCAAGATTTGAAGTTGAGTTGGAGGTTAAATTTCACACCAAAATGGTGTTGGATTGAAAATGTCAGAACTAATCTATGTTTATGGGTTCACAACTGATTGGACACGCTTAAATTTAAAGTGTGTTCTATTAAGCATAGTTGTTACAATTCATATAAATAAGGCATTTGAGAACCCTTCACTTACAAAAATATCATATTTTTAACTGGGCGACTTCACTAAATTACAGCTCATAGTACTCTCCAAGTCTCCTAGTCACCATAGGGGTTGTACTAGGCCCAACTCACTAGATTTTTTTTTTGTTAACATATTAGTGTGGCTTGTAATTCGATCCTGGATCTGTTCCTGGGTTGTACCATGTATACTAACCACGATGGGTAGAATTTGGTCATCATATGGTAATATATCCTAGAGCCAAGTCTTGAAATTAATGACGTGGAATGCAATTGTAGTCATTATATCATTTTCTCCTTGTATAAGCACTTTGGACACTATCCCATTTATAAACTGACGAGTACTAAAAAATGATTGTAACAATTGATACCAAAGCAAGCATTCCATTTTTGGGACCCTTTACAATGGGGGAGACATGAAGAGGATTACTTTTAGAAAAAGAATGGGTTACCGATTGGGTAAAATGGGATACCGTGTTGAGGGGAGGGGACGGCCCCGGGGTCGAAATGTAACACGAAGGTGGAATTATAAAAAAACTCAAGCTCACCAGCTCCATTAAATATACGTGCATGTTTAGACACTTAAAACAAGAAATTAATACAGAAAATGTGTGAGTAATTTAACGCTATGTACCAAATATGTCATATACGTTCAACTCGAAAAGTAGATGATACTGTAGATATTAATCAGAACGCAACGAATGCAACAGAATAATGAGAAGAAATTTCCAGCATTATATTAGTATACACACAGCTGCTGTTGAAGTTTGCTGATTACGCCCAAAGAATAACGCGATAGTTATAGCACAGTTTTGGGGTGTCGTATCCACAGGGAGATGGAAGAATATTTAAAGGATAAAAAATGTTGAATTGTTCTCTCAAATGTGTAATAAAATTTAATGTTGAAACATGAAATTAAAATCAATAATTCGAAGCGGTGAAGCGTCGGAATTCCCTCAATTGGATTGGATCAATCATATCAATTATTCATTTTTATAACACAATTAGAGGCTTTCATCCCGACACTCTAATCGGAAGATATATCGTGAAAATCAATTTAATTTACAAATGTAATCCTAGAATTTAGATTTAAGACATATTCGCACAATTTTATTGGAACAAAATCAAAGATCGACCATATACATCAAGCATAAGGCAGTAATCAATCCGCCAATAAAGTGAAATTGAGATTAAAATTCAACAACTAGTTTAATCTAACGATAGAAGAAGCATGACTGGATCTATGAAGGATATAATAATTGTTAAACCAATCTCAACAATAAATAATTGAAATTGAAACTCAATAAATAGTTTGATTGAACAATGGAAAAAGTATGACTGAATCCATGAAAAATCTTGTAAATATTAAACCGATTTCAATATAAATTCAAGAGAATGAAAATCTAAATTCTATCATTATTTGACAATGAAACGATCAAATTAAATGAATAAAAGATATGAAATCACCAATTCCAATCGAGTTCCTTCGTAACTTCACCAAGGATTTTAGTTCTTCATGAGTTTCTTGAGCCAAAGAGGAGAAGAATTGTGTATAGGGGCCTCCTCCATATGTATTTTGCTGTTAAGTATTTGTAAGAGTCAGAAATTAGATGAAAATCACGTCCAAATTGGTTTCCAAAAGAGTTCTAATCGAATAAGGAAAGTTCCTTTCGCGCGCGGATTTTTTTGTCTTTGCATAGTAGTCAGTAATTTGGTTGTAAATTTCTCTTCTGATATCCGATTTAGATAATTCAAGATGCATTGGAAAGGCAACTCGAAGAGCTACAACTTTGTTAGAAATACATCTTTTCCAATTCGAACTTTTATTATACCAAAAATGGGTCTCAATTTTCGGCTAAAAATCTGGAATATATCTTGTGCGAATTGGAAATTGATTTTGATATTATTCCATTCCTTTTTTATTTCTAATTGCTTCCAATCGACTCTTAGCACTCTCGAACCTTCATCGTGAGTCCTGACATAATTTTTGAATATTTGCACTTTAATCCTTGAACTTTCACTTTCTTCCATTCAGATTATTTTTCACTTATTTCTCATTATTTCTGCCACATTCATCACTTGTCCTGCAAAACATGAATTGTATAGAATTAAACTATATTCCAACATATTAATCAATAATTACTCATATTTTTGACAGTAAAATAAGTATGTAAAACGTACTTATCATTTGCTTTTCATTGATCAAACTTTCTACCAGCCGCCATGTTTAAATCTTCATTTCCCTCCAAGATCCATTGATTTGAAATGAAATCATTTATCATTTCTGATGAGTATAAGTGTATTAAGCCCGAGCTAGACTTAGACCCCCGAACTTAACTCCCTTTAAATATCCCAACTCCAAGGTCGAGGTTGGTGATTGGAGGTCGGGGTTGTGCTATGCGGTCGGGCTAGTTGTGCCTTTTGCTCGATTCTCTTGTCCTCATCTCACACCTTCTACAAACAGCAGTTCTATTTGAATATAAACTCCCCAACTATTACAAATTTAACTCTAACTAAAACTGTGCACTTCTAGCATAACACAAACACCTTGTACGACAAGGATAAGGACTACATGAAGTTGGATCATTTTAGGACTCCATCTCCAAACACCTATAAATACATGACCTAGCCTTATTATTCAGGTACGCTTTTTACATAATTTTCGGCATACAGTCATTCCCATAAATTTCCTTTTCTGATTTAAGCATCGGAGGGGTGACGAAAACACATCTCAATGCCTTTGTTTCAAATATTGAAAATCAGATTGTGCGGAGTTCAACCATCCAATTCGAGTTCATTCAGGAACAAATTTTTGGTAGCATCAATTTCAATAAAGGGTTTTGCTATTTGTAAAACGGGGTTAACACTTCGGTGTACATACCCCTCACAATAAGGGGGCCCACGACCAATAAAAAAATCGTTGTTCCCCGTTTGTGAAGGGGCAGTACACCAAAGTGTTGTCAATAAAGTTGTCAGTGAGAAGTGTAAAATAATTTTTTTCTTTTAATCTTAGAGGAGTTCAATGAGAAAAAAAGCATCAACCACTAGTTGCTCGTTGGAATGCGGAAATAGAATTATCTGAAAATTAAAAAATTCTTTAATTCAATAAGCCACCGTTTGACACACATTAAAATTTTCATTTTCATTCTTCTACTCATTTTCAACTACATATTCTTCAATAAAATAATATTTTCCATCACATCAATAAC